CCGTACATGCTGGCGATGCAGTCGCACTTCTCTGCCATCCTCCTTCGGCTTCCTCTCCTTCGTCACTGGAAAAGCTGGGAGAGCCGGAGAGCTTCCAGGTCACCGAGGTGGTTGGAAATCAAGCACCTCATTATTACTTACAGATGCTCTGGGGCGTCTTGCTCTGAGCCCATCGCTCCAGGACAACGCGCGGGCGCAGTGAAAATAAATCTGAGCACACACAAATGAAATGTTCAAAACTGGGTGAGAAACCAAAGGGGTAGAAGACACTTTCCAAGCAGAGCGGAGAAACGCAGCCTAGCGATCTCCAGCCAAGAAAGAATCTTTTTCTTGAGGCTTACGAATCGGCACGGCTACATCTTTCAGCCGCTGTCCTGTTTTCCTCGCCCCGGTATCCTGGAGGCAAAGCCGAAGCTCAGGGCTGGTGGCACCGCCGGACGCCTGTCCCCGCGTCCCTGGTGTCTCAGTGCCCACAGAGCTGTCCAGCCCCACCGCGGGGCAGAGCCCAGAGCAGCCCCATGGCCCCTCCACTGCCCCCAGCCCTCCCTGCCCAAGGTTTTCACAGAGTTTTCCCCACCAGGGAAGCGCATCCAGGCACTGGCAGAGCTCTCCAGCCGTCAGCAAAGCTTCGCCCTTCTCCTCGCTCCGTGCTGGCTACAGGCAGATCTCATCTTCCCCGTTGGCAGACAGAAATCCTGGTGGCAGCAAAGGTTTTGCAGACTAAAACTCGGGTTTTTTTCAGCTGTGTTCAGCGCAGCAAGTTTCCACGTTTGCTGTTCCAACACCTTCCCCTTGTGCGTGTCTCCCTGGCGGGGCCGAGCGCCATCTGATCGTTGCAGCTTGCTGAGGAGCTTCCCTGTGCTGCACAGCCCAGTTATCCCTCAGCAGGTCTCAGCCTCACTCCTGGAAGAGAAGAGGAGATGGATTCATTTTATTCCAGCACTGCCTATGCCTTGCCTACGTAACAGCTTGCTGAAGGTTAACCATGAGCAAAACTGTGACCTTTCAGAGACTCATTAGTTATCCCCTCCAAACACACGCAGCATCACCAGCATTTTCCAGCTGCTTAATCTTCCCTTTTCCATTTTTAAGACACAGAGAACTGCAACTTTTCCTTTCCCATCTCTTGCTTTCGTTTTAATTTGCCTGTAAAGTACCTTGACAGTACAAGTGAATCCTGGGCTGCATCCAAAGGAGTGTGAGCAGCAGGACAAGGGAAGTGATTTTCCTCCTCTGATCTGTTCTGGTGAAACCCACCTGGAATCCTGCACACAGTTCTGGTGTCCTCAGCATCAGAAGGACATGGAACTGTTGGAGCAAGTCCAGGGGAGCCCACAGAGCTGATCAGAGACTGGAGCAGCTTCCCTGTGAGCACAGACTGAGAGAGTTGTGTACAGCCTGGAGAAGAGAAGGTTGTGTGGAGACCTCAGAGCACCTTCCAGGAGCTGAAGGGGCTCCAGGGAAGCTGCAGAGGGATCTGTGTTAGGAGCTGCAGTGACAGGATAAGGAGTATTGGGAATAGACTGAAAGACAGAGATTTAAGTTAAATCTTAGGCAGAGGTTTTCCCTGTTCAGGTGGTGAGACAC